ATTTAGCTTACTCTGTCTTCTGGGATTGGGACATGCTTCTCCTACCCTTGGACGTCAGAACGCTGGGTCCCCTGGCTTGTGGACTCCAGGACTTGGCACTGGTAACCTCCTAGGTTTTCAACCTTCCAGCCTCAGGCTGACAGTTACACCATCCACTTCCCTGGTTCTGAAATCTTTGGACTTGGACTGAGCCAGGCTGATGGATTTGCTGGTTCTCCAGGTTACAGGTGATTCAGCATGTGACTTCTCAGCCTCTGCAGTCACGATTCCATTCCTCTAATGCCCTGTCTGTCTTTGTGTGTCTCTGTCTTTTTGCCTCTCTGTCTCTATCTGCGTCTCTGTTTCTGCCTCTGCCTTTGCCTCTGCCTCCATCTCCCTCTCCCTCTGTCTCCCTCTCCCTCTCACTCTGAAAGAACCAGGAACCCCAGCCAATTCACAACCTCAAAGTGAAGGTGGAAAGCCCAATAAAGCTCCCAAACCTGGAGACAGGTTGGGAGTGGGCTTCAGTTTCTGGCCCCAGGACCTTGGGATTTTGGTGGTACACACTACCTGGAATGACAGTGGTAAAGATTTGCTTTACTTGGATATAGAGGAGGAGGAAAGTGACTGTCTGACTGAAGCCCCCACTGGACACAGTACCCACACTCGCGTGCCATAAACATGTGGCCTGAGCTGGTGGAAACTACCTGGCATGGGGGTGATGACTGTCTAGAGTGGCCAGAAAGGCAAATTGGAGTCTTATCTATAGACTCCTGTTTCAGAGGAGGTGGAAGCCTCTTTAAGAGGCCAGAAAGCCTTCCTTCAGGAACTGTAGCCACTGTCTCTGCTGAATGGCAGTGTTTTGGAACTTGAGTTGCTTACATGTGTGTTACCGGCTTGTATTTACATGTGTTACTGGCATGTACGTCAAGGTGAAGGATGAGAAGGCTGCATAGCAGGGTGTGGCTATCTTTTAAGTGAGAAGAAAAGTGAGCAACATTTCTTTGGTGGAACAAAGGAAGCTGCATGTAATTGTCAACATACAGGCTATCAGTCAGTGATACATAGTTAGTTGGGTGCTCAGCCAGTGGAATGTCCTGGACCCTTATTGTTGAGCTGGGCTATGTTATTATTTCTGACTAATGAGTTGTGAGATGAGCCCTTTCACACTGTAGAATTTTTTTTCATCTTTTTTATTTAAAGAGAAAGAAACAAAAAATACATGGAGATAAAAAGGGTAGAAATAATACAGAATTACAGAAAAATAAATGGTAAGAAATCACCAGTTGATAAGTTATGTATTGTCATCTTAGAAATAATATTCTAGCATCTAATATGATTTCTCCACAGAGACTCTCTGCCCAATCCCCTAGCAAGCTGCCATTTTTGAAACTTCCCCACTGTAGAATTTAATTACAAATTCAAGTCCCCCCAGCTCCTTTTCACCTGCTACAATGATTATAGAAACACACTTTGATAAAGCACCTGCAGACTTGTCCCTGAGTGGTTACAAAGAACAGAAGTACGTTTGATGACTTGCATTGGACACGGTGTAAGAAAAACAGGTTTTTTTTTGTTGAGTCACTGGGATTTTGGCATTGTCACCACAGTGACACCTGACCCCTCCTGACTGATGATCCAGGGCCAAATTGGGCATTTTCCATGTAGTTCACCACCCTGTGGTGGTAATGTGGGGAGAGCCCTTTCTACTTCTGCAGAGGTAGTAGCCATCTCACTTCCCATACAGAAAGATCAATATATTCCTCTAGGGAGAGTATGTTTCTCTGCTCTCTGGCCAATGCCCAATTAGTAGCAAGGGAGGGTCTTGGATTGCGTGAAAATGTGGAGCTGGAAACGTAGACCAGCTGTAGCTATACAGTGCTAAGCGGTGCGTTGTCAGACCTGCAGTAAGAGGTTGCTGTCGGCAGAGCTGTTTGTCAGCCCCAGCTGTATTTAAGCAGCTGGTGATGGTGATGATGGTGCCACTGGTGATGGTGATGACAGTGAAGGTAGTGGTGACGGGAGTAGAGGAGATGATGCTATCAGCCTGTTCCAGCCCTGGCAGGGTCAGAGGGTACAAGGAGCCTTCTGACCAGCCACTCTGGTTCCCCTTCACTCTCTCATACCTTCCGCTACATAGGGGTTCCTTTCTCACCAGGCAGAGGGAGGGGAAAGGCTGCAGCTAGTTCGCAGATGGGCTGGCTTACTGTGGGAACAGACTGAGAATGGTGGCACTGCAGTACAGGTGCTCTTGGATGACCTTTTGAGAAGATGGCGAAAGGAAAATCTTCTCCGATGGGCACAGCCTTGAGGGGTACACTTGACCTAGCGGTATGACAGGCCAACTGGCGGTTCAGGGGCCAGGAAAGGCACAGACTGCAAGAGGCTCCCGAATGAACAGGCTCTTGCCTACGGATACAGAGTATTCCAGACAGCCTTGGGGGCTGGGGTCTCAGCAGAGTCAGCCTCTCATGTGACATTAGAAGGTGACTTTAAAAAAGCTTATGGTTTGCTTTGCTTCGTTCTCCCTTGAGGAAACTGTCTTGGATAGTATCACTCCCTTAGTTTTGTTTTCTTCCCCTCTAGTGCTTTCCATTTTGTGTCAAGCCAGCATTATGGTGTACATACTTGGTTAGACTCAGGTAAAACAGACACAAAGGGGAAGACAGAAAGACATAGAGGAGGAAATTGAAATAAGAGTATTCTTAAGGACACACAATCAGAATCTGCTGGAGCAAATCTTAGTGTGGATGTCAGAATAGTTAATGTTCAGATTTTAATTCTGACTTCCTGGGCAGTCCCTGAGCTACTTCAGGATCACTGGGAAGAAACTTAGCACAGTCCCATAGCAAAGGAGTCTCTTAGCCCTTAATGCTTTGCATCATATTGGTATGTGTAAAGCAAATTCACTGTAAGATACTTCAGTATACTTATTCCCATCCTCTCTCACCCTTGGCAGGAGAAAAGCTTATAGTTTTTGATCGTACCTCACAGATGACTGACGGGTAGATGTGTAGATATGGCATCTGGGAGCAAATGATCTTTGGAGAGTCCCTGTCCCTAGTGGGAAATGGTACCTTACCACTGCACACTTAGGTACAAGCTGGTGATAGGAGCTTATGTCTCTTTCCTGTCCTCTTCTTCAGCTGAAGAGAATACAGAGTGAGCATTCTCTGTGTAAATGCTCAAGCTTTCTCTGGGCATCTCACCAGGGCATAAATGAAGCCAGACTAAAACAAGAGGCTAGCAAGAGAGGTCCTCCCAAAGATGTGGGGAGCTGTGGAAAGCTGAGAAGGGGAGGGCAATCACATAAAGTCACATAAATACCCTAACCCTTAGGGTATTTTTAGAGTCATACAGGCAGTAAGTGACAGTGCCAGGCCCATTAAAGGGCCATAAGCTCCATGTGTGGTCCTGGGACATTATCAAAAGCTTGCTCATTGGCAAGGATTTTATGAGTAAAAGGCACTTTATGAGTACAAGGGCACACAGCAACTCTGGGTAAAACTGTGCCCTCCCCCCTGCCCTAGCTGCATTTCCTTTTCTTAGTGTTATGGTTTAGATCTCAGATGTCCCTCAAAGTGTCGTGTGCTCAGAAGTGGGATTTTTGCAAGGTGATTGGATCGTGAGGGTGCTGCACTTCATAATGGGTTATTCCATTGTTGAGTTCATATCTCAATAAGGTGCTTTTATAAGTGGGCCTGGTTGGGAGGAGTAGGGCATGTGATCTGGAAAGGTATCTTTTTGTCCCTGGCTCCTCCTCTCTTTCTTTCTCCCTGTCTGTCTGTTGTCTGTCTCTGTCTCTCTGCTTCCTGGCCACTACATTCTTCCACCATGCTTGTTCTTCCCTGGAGCCAACCAACCATGGAATGAACCCATTGGTACTGTGAATCACATAAACGTCTTTCCTCTTTATGTTGTGAGTGTTGGGTATTTGTTGCAGTGATAGGAAATCTGACTAGTACCTCTATGTACCTGTGACTTCCTACTGCCTGGAGTTGAAGGAGAGACTTCTGCCTTTCAGACATCATAATGCAATCTTTGGCAAAGTCACATGGAGCTGATTATAGGCTCACCCAGCAGGAGCTACTGGTCTTAGTGTGTGATGAGAGACAAGGAACACAGATTCTTCAAGAGCTTCTCCGCAGCTAATGAGGCCTTGAATTGGGCACTAATGGGCAAATGGAGTCAGGAGCCTGGGTCCAGGAGGGCATTTTGGGAAAGCCAGAGGGACAAGACCTGTTGTAATGGACTGCTGAAAAGTTAGAACCCAGAACAGAAAAAGTTCCCAAGAAACTCTTCTAGCCTATAGATCCTAGCTTAGAGCTACGGGCAGAGCAGCACAGCAGCCCCTGCAGTGTAAGTAGGTACAGCTTTGCTGGCCTGCTTTGGGTGCAGAAGGGACCATGGAGGAAGAGTCACTGGGTTAATGTTCTTGTTGTCAATCTAAACTCATCAGAATGTGCCTTGGTTTTCTTGCTCCTTACTCTGCACATCCACAGTAGCAAAGAACATTTTAAAAACAAGTTCATTCTTTGTAAAAGACACCTTTTACCACTTCTCTGAGCCCATAAAGTGGAACTAAATGTCCACCTTGGATTTTGCACTGCACTGGCTTGCCATCTGAACATTTTTGTTTCTAATGGTTAAGAATGATTTGTGCAGAAGTGTAAATTCTTTCAGATGTATTGTTTCTAACTCACCTTCACCTGAAAACCATGGGTTCAAATGTCCTGGGGTATGAGGAGATAGATATGCAGAGTCATGGTGAAGTGATAAAAGTCGAGGATTCTGGGCCCAGAAGGATGTGCCATGCAGTGCCTCCTAGTTTAAGAGAAAGGACACACGGTGACCCATCAGAGAATATCCCACTGGGCTGGGGATTTAGCTCAGCAGCATAAGCACCTGCCTTGGAAGCAGGCAGTCGTGAGTTTGATCCCCGGGACCGATAAAAAGGAAAAAGACCAAAAAAAAAAAAAAAAAAAAAAAAAAAAGAGAGAGAGAGAGAGAGAGAGAGAATATCCCACTGTTGAGCTTTATTTTTCCCCATTTATTATTTACAACATTTCACTCCAGCATAGTTTTCAGAAACACAGTTTTATGTTTCTTCATGTTTCACTTTCTTAAAGTCAGGACTGGTCAGGGTCTTTCTCCTATAAAAATGTACATTTGATGAGGCCAAAGTGGCCACTCAGCCATGCCATGAGGCCCTGCTGCTGTCTGTCCCTTTGCAGGTCAGGCCAACGAGGACACCTGGGTCTTGGTCTTCTCTTTTCTTGGCTTTCACTGCATGGGCCTGGCACCACTCCTGAAGGTCTGTGTGTGGCTTTACTGTAATCCATCTGCTTCCAGATGACTACTCACTTGGCTGCCTTAAGAAGAATCCTCTGGCACTGCCTGATGGCAGAACAATTCCAGTGGCTTCTACTTTGCTAACCACTGACCCTGAGGATGCAGTCTGGCATGTAAAGTCGCACACAAATGCAGTCCATAGAAGTGACCCTAACCACCTAGGGTGTTTCATAAGTTAAGTATATTAAGGAGATAATTTAGCACCCTCCCTCCCCCCTTGAAAACCTAATCCTGATAATACAGATTTCATATTGAACACAGGACATTGTACAACAAACACAAACACACTGCCCTTTCAGTAGGACAAATCACGATTTCCTTTGATGCTTGGCTGTGGAGGGCCCAGAAGGTCACCACCACAGCAGGTTGTCATGCAGATAGAGAGCTTAGTGTATATGGTCAGTAGTTAATAGCTCAAAGGGTTAGTTGTTATGGATACAAGATGAAGAAACCTCAGGAATGGCCACAGTCTCAACAAAACTTATCTCTAAATGTGCAAAGACTTGCAGCCTTGCTATTAACCAGGTGACACAAGTTGTAAGAGTACATTTGACAAACTCCATTAAGACCAATCAGACCATGTTACTCTGCAAAGTCACCCTGCAGTGGTGAGCATGATAGGAAACGTGTCAGACATCCCACAGAAGGGCATCGGGAAGATAGGGGTATCCTTTGTGGGGCTGGGGTTCTAGGGTGAAAGGAAGGACAGATGTGTCGAGGAGTAATGTGGAGTTGCTCTATTCCAGACTTAGTGAGGCCTTTTCCTCTGCCCAAGCTTCCAAACTCCCAAGTGTCCAGATTGCTGACCTCTGGGAGCACCTGGCAGCTGCTCTGCACTTGGCGTTGGGGGAGGTATGGGAAGGGACATAGCCAGCTGGAGATAGAAGAGGATGGGGCACAGCAGCAACATGGACAACAGAGCACACAGAGATATGGTCAGGGGAGATCTGGCAATTTTCAGTCAATTTGAAGGACCAAAGCCACAGCAAACTGCAAAGTTTCAAGTTCCTGAAAAGGTGGCACTGCCAGACCTCCACCTCACCGTGACACTTCACGTCACAGTACACATTGCAGTAGAATTCAACTACTCATTGCAGCAAGTTAGGGCAAGATTTTCTTTTTTAAGTATAATAAATCTAGTTACATGGATATTTACAACTGGCCTCTTTGCCTTTCCTCAATACAGTGAAGCCTTCCTGGGCATTGCTGTCACTTTTTGTCTCCACTGCTCAAGTTTCCATTTAAGACTTCACGCCCATGAACTCGAGATTCACAGGGTTCAAAGTCCCTCCAGGATCCTGAAGCCCCAGATCCAAGTCAGCTAGCCAACTTTAGGCTCCAGGAAGCCAGTCTTCCTACAGCCTAGCAGGAGCTTTGCTATGGGGCATTGCTCATCTTCAGCCTGGACCTCTCTGTGCAAGGAGACCAAAAGAAGAGGTAATCTGAGACATTCTGAGGACAACATTCATTTTCTTTTCTTCCTTATCTTACGTGTGTGTGTGTGTGTATGTGTGTGTGTGTGTGTGTGTGTGTGTGTGTGTGTGTGTGTGCGTGCGCAGGCATGGCCACATGTGTATACACATCTGGCACATATACATGTACACTGAGGGACATTGTCCCGTGTGTACCCATGTGTGTGCAATGGTGTGCGTGTGTGCATGTGTGAGTGACTACGTGCTTATGTGCTATGTGCATAGAACAAGCTGGCCACAGTCTAGGCAGTCAGCACCTGAGGCTCCTTCACATTTTCCTCTCATTCCTAACTCTTCCCCTGGAGGAGGTGGAAGTGGAGTTCTGGAACTCCAAATTCAAGGGGGAACTTTGGGCATGTCACTAGTGTCCAGCAGCCAACAACTACCCACAATGGGTCACTAAAGTGCTTTCTGTCCCTGAATGGGCTCACTACCACAGTCCAAGGCACCTTTGGTTCTCAGCATGTAGCTGCTGGCAGCCAGTCCCCTGAGTGTGTCCTGTCACTGTCTACTGGTCTGCGGCTGCCAACAGCCCCACTTTGTGTCCGGCACAGACGATGAGTGGGGTAAGGGGATGGGCCATACAGGCCACCTGCCACCTCTCCAGTTCACCAGCCCTCCTGCCCCGCATCTGCACTGTATCTGTGCTCCCAGGGCATCATTCAGGCTCTTATTCTAAAACACTAGTCCAAAATCTGTCCTAACAGCAGACAAGATTGTTGGCACTCACAGCTTATCCCTACCCGAAGGCACTATGCTACCGCTTCTTAGGGCTATATTCACTTCCTCTGGGTCCCCTATCCAGGAGACAGTCCAGATACGTGGGGGGAGGGGTAAGGGGCAGCGGCTCTGCTCCCTGAGACAGGGCAATTAGAAACACACAGTGAACCAGACCAGCCAAACGGGGCCTCCCTAATGCGTAAACAGGCCAAAGGAATTCTGGCAGCTCTAGAAAGGCGGCCTCCAACAGACATGCTTTCCCTTACACCCATTCAAATCAGATAAAAACAGATATATACTTACTGTACACATGCACAAAGGACACTTACTCACAAGCAACACACACCAGCAAACACACAAACCACACAGCGATATGTACAAAGGCACGTGTATCTGTACATTGTAGATTCACTTCCACACATAGTAATAAAGATTTACACTGATAGATATGGTTTAAGTATACACACTCCTACTCTGATGCATACACACCCCAATGACACACACAAGCATGGACACAGAAGCAGTTTAAAGAGCATGAGGCAAGGGGATGGGGCTGCAGGAGAGGCGGCCTAAGGCGAAGAGGAACATAGGTTGAGTGCTTTGCAAAGCTCACTTCCCCACGGCCTCCATCAGTAAGCTGCTGCAGCTGGCAAGTTGCTGGGTGGGCTAATCCTACTTCCATCAGCCGGGCAGGGTGGCCAGGGCCCACACACTCCACTCGCCTGGTTCCTGCTCATTGGCAGATCAGTGGTCTCTTCCTGCCAAGGTGCTATAGGTCTGCAGAGGGAGGGGGCAGCCTGACAGCAAGGCAGGCCATGCCAGCACACCCCCTTTTGTGAAGGGGAGGGAAGAAATGGGAATGCTTCAGCTGAGAGGAAGAAAGGGAGAAAGAACAAGTGTCTTCAAGCATGGCACACAAGTTCCACTCTTTCCTTGGAACACTGGGGACAAGGTGCTTTGCCTTCCCTGGCTCATGGGCTCCTGTGAGGGTCCAACGATGTGATGGGTCAGGGAGCTTGCAGACACTTAATTAAACACTAGACAAACAGAAAGGATTAGTATATAGATTTACAGTAGGCGTTCATCTGCTGTTCTAGATCAGATGGTTAACTAGCCAAGTGTGAACTTTCCCAGCCTCGTGCTTATTCACCAAGAGCTCACCCCTAACTAGCTCTCGACTCAGCAATTCATAGAGAGCTAACTCCTGACTCCACAGAAGTTTTGAGTCCCTTTTGTCAAATATTCTGAAGCAGACATACAGGCAAGAAAATAAATTCTAATCCCTCCAAAGTGGTCAGCTGATCCTGTGCATTCTTTAACCTGACATCACCCTTGCCTGCCCCAAGTTCCTGCCACCTCCACGCCATTCCCCTCCCAACTCTGACCACAACACCACGCTGAAGATACAACCCAAAGTCCCGGGCAGAGGCACTTGCAAATCCTTCCCTACTCTGCTGTAGCCAGTTTTGCACACATCCAAGGCATGGCTAGCCCTTCCCCTGTGTACCCCAGCCCAACTTAGCTTGACTTTTTCACACACAGCCCTAAGTGAAGAAGAAACAAACGAGAAAGTACAGTAACAAAAAAACCGCAGTGCCCAAAGGGGGCAGGATAAAAAGACCCAGGAAAGTTTCTGAGCAAGGTTCAGTGCCTTCCTTTGCTCCTCAGCCTGCTCCTCTCTGTCTCGTAAACATTTCTGGGTGCTTTGCCACACTGAGAAACTTCTGGAAATGTTTGAAAAGGTGTGAGTCTTCTTGCCAGAAAGGAAATCAATGAGATGCTGGCTCCTAAGTCCTCCTAATTCCTTCCCTCCCTTTCTGTCTTGCATGCCTCATGAAGATAAGGAGAAGTGTGGAACTAATAAGCACCTAATAAAATGATCAAAGGAAAAAGGGAAAAACCCCAAAAGGTACTGTGAAGGGAGCAAAGCATGTCATCCTTGCCACTCCTGGGCACTGGGAACTAGTATATGTGGTACAGCCAGTAAACAACGTTGAACACCAAAAAAGTAACAGGGAAGAGGACCCGGCACCACTTGTCTATTTTGGGGACATGGTCAGGGTTAAAGAGCTTGGAAGAGATCACTTCACTGCAGTAGCACCCAGAGTTCAGCAAGCAACAGTCGTCAGACTCTGAGCCACTGTCCTCTTGCTCAGAGGTCATGGGATTCTCCTCATCGACACTATGGATATTGAATGTATCATCATCCTCAAATTGCTCCTCAAGGTCAGGGCTGTGGCTCTTGACACTGGTGTCATCCTCTAAGCTTTCGATCTTATCAAAGTCCCATCCTGCTTTTGGCACACACCTCTGGCCGTGGGATGGCATGGGCCTCCCGCTGGGGTGATGGCCGTGGCTCTCATCCAAGCCCAGGTTGTCTTTGGAGTCGGCCTCTCTGTTGTCATGGATCTCCACATGCACATGGACTTCAGTACGAATGCAGATTTGGGTGGGAACAGTAGTATCGTGAAAGCCAGGCAGGGCCTGCTGGCGGATAGAAGGGATGTGGCTCGGGTTCGCTTGAGCCTTCAGCTGGGCTAGGCCAGAGAGTGTGCTAAGGCTTTCGGAGGTGGCCAGTGGGACCTGCTCTGAGATAGTTGCCAAAGAGCCAAGGCTTTCAGGGCTCGCCAGACGAGCCTGTGCTGGGTGGGTGGGAGAGCCAGAGCCGACTTCATTTTCCATGTTAATCAGGACATCCTTTGAGGAGGTATTGGGCAGGCTTGTCACTTTCTTATCACCTAGGTGGCTGTGTACTGGGGGGAGGGAGAGGGAGGGGGCTTTCCTCATCAGCACTGGCAGTGTCACTGTTGATCGCTTTGACAGACACAGCCATCTCCTCTTGGGTCTCTGGAGCTTATGGGGCTGAGAAGAGGACAAACAGGCTGTTAGCATGCAAGGGGAGGTCGTGACAGCAGCCAATGCAGTGTCTCACTGGGGGCCGCTGCTCCCTCAGGAGCGCCCGGTGCCAGATGGAGGTCATTCAGGCCTCTGGCCAGGGCTCCCTGGCAGGAGGGAGGGGGAGGCTGGATTAATGCATTGCTTGAGGCGGAGGCCTCAGCACAGCCTTGGGAGCCTGCAGAGCCAAGGAAGGAGGACCGGGCAGGCCAGTCTCTCTAGGGTCTGTCTTCCTCTCAGCCTCCCTGTGCCCACCTTCCCTTTCTGGCTTTGTCACCTGCCCTGGAATCAAGCAAAGAGGCACAAATTGGCTCCAAGATCTGGAGAAATCTAGCTCTGCCACTTTTTGCCTTGTGACACTGGACAATGGCCATCTATAAAAGAAGGATGATAAATTAGTCCTGCTTCTTTGTTATCTGCTCTAGGTGTGTGCTATGCATGTGTATTGTATGTTTGCTGTGCACATGTGTGTGAGGATCAAAGTGGGAAAGGGTCAGGAGGCTGGCCTTGGCTCAAAAGGTGCTTGGGGAAAGCTGACTGTCTGTCACAAAGTCAAACCTGCACATTTCTCACCACTACATTATGGTAGAGGAAGCGGGCAATGAGTCTTCTGGCTCTCCTGCGTCGTCTACGATGGCGCAGTCCTTGGTTGAAGAAAAGGTAGTTGATGTAGATATACTCCACCAAGGACAGGAACACGAAGAACAAGCACACGAGGATATAGATGTCAATGGCCTTGACATAGGCAATGTGGGGGAGTTTATCCCGCAGGTGTGAGTCGATGGTGGTCAGGATAAGGATGGAAGTTAGGCCTATAAATAACAGCACAGGTTAAGTGGTCCTGTGGTGGCCTACATCCCTCAGGAAGGGAGAAAAGGCCATCTCGTGTGGGGCCTCTATCCAGTGTTCTCCTTGTTCCCTCTTCCCCAAGTTTAAACCTGGCCGATGCTCCACTGGTTTGATGACTTGCCATTGCTCTGAGAATCAACTTCCAAATCTGTAGCCATGGCCAAGCCATGGTTTATAGCTCTGGTCCCACCTTGCCCTACTTGCCTTCCAGTACATACTCTTCCTTTAGAATCTGAGGAAGTTCTGTGAACCCTAAAATACTGCATTCATATCAAGGTTTGGTCTTGAATGTGCTACTAAAGAAAGACAAGGAAGAGCTTAACCTCTAAAGATGGTGAAGACAAACCACTCTTAAGCACTCTTTGCTTGAAGACCCTTGAAGGCTCCCTATGGGCATGCATGAAGTTCAAGATCTTCCCAAGTCTGCCCAGGCCATCTGTCTGCTGCCTGCCTCACCCTCCCAGGTCCTGCCCCAGGCATCTTGTGATTTAGCCCACCCTCAGGACCCCTCTCTCTTTAATCCTGCTATTCCCTCTTTGAGAAATGCCAAGTCTTATGTCCATGCCTCCTGCAGTCCCTCAAAACTTACTTCAGACAACACTTTCTTAATGCATCTTTAGCCACCGAGACCTGCTTCACTTCCTCCTCTGGACTCTGATAGCTGGAACTTCCACATTCTACTAGTTACTTGTCAAGGGGGCAGGGCTCTCTGGAAGTCCTGCTGCTTAATAGGACACTTTGACATCTCGCTTAATCAGTGTTAGTGGTGTCACATTTCTGTTTGAAATTCACTTATATGTATTTGATAGATAATGAACAATGGACATTTGGGCTCAACATGCCAAGATTCCTCCCTGCTGCTGTTTCACCCCATCTCCATTGGGGGTCTCTCCATTGGGCAGGACCGGCCAAACACCTGTGCAGTGCGTGTTGGAGAGATCCTGCTTCCTTGCCTGTGTGATCACATACTGCTTTAGCTTTTCCCTCTTGGAACTTTCTCCTGAGCAAAGTGACCCAGGTTCTTCCCTAGGATGGAGACGAGACCTACCAATTGTCACCCTGGCTGCAGAGGACTCATGGTTCATCCAAAACGATATCCAGGAGAGAACAGTGGTGAGGACAGTGGGCCAGTAGACGTGCAAAAGGTAGCTGGCGATGTCCCGCTTGACCTGGAACTTCATCACCAGACGCATGTAGGAACCTGGGAGTAGACACACTGGTGTCAGCCTCACGCGGCACAGCACGTCTCTCCCACCTCACCTCCTCACTTAGGCCCAGTTACAGACAAGAGGCGCTTCCAAGCTGCCAGTAGATGGAGGGTGAGAGGCTGGGCCTGAGCAGAGCGCACGCACGTGTTTCCAGTGTGTTAGTGTGGTAAACCTAGCCACGTGCATCTGCGTCCTTTCCACATTTGCAGAGGTGAGCTGCTGAGACTTTATCAGGGGGCCCCCAGAAACGTCTAGGCAGAGGGAAATGGGAAAGGAGGCAGCAGAGAGTGTGAGGATCAAAGATGGAGGCCCGCAGGCGTTTATAGGGGTACAAAGAGACAAGAAACAGGAGAGAAGAAAGGCGCCAGGCCCACCTGTGTAGAAATACACCTCCTTGCTAGTAATGATCTTCCCCAGGAAATTGAACTGAGGGATATTCAGCTCCTCAGTCATCTGGACGCCATCCTCATTGTTTTCCCAGGATAATATGATGTCTTCGATAGTGTAGCCATCTGGGAAGGGAAACGAAACATCGATAGTGTTGGAAAACAGAAACAGGCAGGTTTCACACCACAGCGGTCTGTGCAAACCAAAGCATGGTTGCGACTTGAGATCTGGGGGCTCCACTGTCGTTTGCTGAGTGTCACCGTGAAAGAAAGTTTGAGCACTTGGAAAGAGAATTCTTTCTTCAGATTTTCTTCAGTCGGAAGGAGGGAACTTAGCCCATTACCCTTGCTACTTCCTGAAGCAGTTCCAGAAGTCATGTTTGGTTGCTTTATGTTGTTGAGGCAGTCTCCATGTCGTGAACTGATTCAAAACTTCTTTCTTTCTGTGGTGGTTTTGACTTTGGGGAAGAGCCAGAAGTTGTTCAGTGCCGATCCAGTGAATAAAGTTGATGAGGACACACTGTACTGTTTTTACAGTGTACCTTTCTGTGGGATGGCACTCAGCAGCAGCAAGACACTCAGGAAAGAGGCCTTCCGGAACTGCTTCAGAAAATGGCAATGAAGGGAAACTGTTTGAAATCAGGGGGAGGGTTCTGAGGGGAGTTCATGGCAATTTGCTTTTACTGCACTATTTTTTGAAGGTTTAAATGTTCACTGCATATTTTGATCACCCCTTGTATCACATGCCAATCACCTAGTCTTCTATCACTTTATCTATGTCTATGTCCTGATCATCACTGATTATGTCTTTAGGAGAAGGAGAACAGGGAGAAAGAGGAAGGAGAAGAGAAAGGCTGTCCCTCTCACTGTCAACTCTGTTTGTGGTTTCCTGAGTGCCGCAGCCCAGGGCAGAGAAGAAGCATCCGCGGGAGATATACGCACAGCTCTCCACCTCCAGCTTGCACGTCTGCTGGTCCATAGGGAATTTCCGCAGATCCAAGGAGCAGGCCGCGATGGCAGTGAGCCTGCCAAAGGAAAGAAAACAGAGGGGAAAGTGAGCGGGGGGGGGGGGTCCCAAGGCCACAGCCATTCCTTGGGCATTGCAGGGGTGGAAAGCAAGAATTACCTCGAAGACCACCTGTGTGTGGGAGAGAGAGAATTGGAGTGTGACAAGGACACTGAGTTACCTGAGTTACCTTGGACTGACACCAAGGACAGATGTATGGCCTGTCAGCAAACCACAGGGTGTCAGAATGGGAAGGGTCCTAGAGGGAACGGATGAGAAGACAGAAAGGAGACCCAGGCTTGCTAAAGAGGGATCAGGCTGTCAAGAGAAAACTCTGGGCTACCTGGAAGCCACTGAGGCTGCATAGCCGGTGTGAAGGGCAGGTGTGTGGTGTATGTGTAAGGATATGAGGACCAGTGTAGCCAGCCTCTGGCCACACCTGCAACTCACGCCAGAGGTGCAAGCCTACATGGTACTGGGAATCAGCAAGATGCCAATGGGAACAAAACAAACGGGGGGGGGCATACCCATGGCTGGGCAGGTGTGCGCTAACAGTAAATCAAGTGGGTGGGAGCTTTAGGTTACTGTGCGCTGCATCCAGGAGGGCAGTCTGAAGGGTGGCCTTGGAGGTGTTGGGGAAGAGAAAAGAGACGAAAGTTCTCACTGCTTCAGCCGAAGGCTCTGTCCCACCCCTTCCACCATTCAGTCCAGCCTACTCCCTGTCAGTTGAAGCAATTTCCATTTTGTGCCCCAGGCAGGATGTGTGTGTATGTGTGAGACTCCGTGTCTTATTTTAGCCCTTTCCATGCGGTAGTCCAGGGTCAAGTTCAGGTCGGTCTCAGAATAGGATAAACGCGAATCCTTCCAGGTCTGATAAAAATACATGGTCATTGTGTAGTCCTGGGGAAACAAAGGTAAGTCCCAGTTGTAAGGTAGGTTGTGCAGCATTGTTTTCTGTGTGTATTTATGATGAAACATCACACAGGTGAGTAGATGAAATGCATGCTTTTTAAGGAACAATAACAAAATGAACCTTCTGTAATTAAAATCTAGGTCAAGAGACAGAATGTTACTGATACATTTCTTGCCCCAGTGCACCCTTTTCAGAACATGCTTTCCGCACCCCCCAGAAGGAACTAGAATGCTAGATTTTAGCATGAAGATCCCCTTGCTCTGGGTTAGTTTTATTGTCTCCTTGTGTATTTCTAGAAGACATGATTAGTTGCACCTATGTTTTTGAACTTTAAAGGAAGTCATACTGTCTGTATTTGTCATTTCTTTCACTCATTATATTTGTGAGATCTATTCTTGTTGATGTGTGTAATGATAATTTATTGATTTGAAATTCTGGAGAATATTGCATATATGAATATACCAAGTATATAACCATGTAAAGGCTCCACAATACTCAAACAAAGATGTTTAACAATGTAAAGTGAAAATCCCAATTTACACCCCTGCCAAAAGCCAGGAGCTGCTGGAGGCTTCCAGCCCTCTGCCCTCGCCAGCGCTGGTATGGAGTATGCAAGCCCTTTGCGCGCACTCTGGCCTCTCTCTGCATTGCACTGATTCCTAGGAAGGTCAAGTTTCTCTTCATATTTAGTTTCTTCAGCTATTTATTTTTTCCCACTACTTAGTTTACATTTGGTAAGTGAAATTCCTGTTCATATTTGCTGATCGTCTTTCTGTTTATTTAAAAATATCCTTATTGACCCACAGAATTGCAAAAATCTTAGTCCACCCTGACATAGCCCCTTCGCACTAATTACAGTAATTTTGTTTCACAAAACTGAAGTGGCAGGAGTTTTGGCTACATACAAGTATAACACTGTTGAACTTAACCAGTATTTATTTTTATGGTTTATATTTTCTGTGGCCTTTAAAAGACACGTCATTGTCCTGAGTTGCTGGGGATGGAACTCACACTTGCTAGGCAAGAGCTGTTCCAGTGGCCTCCATCTACTGCCCTAAAAGAAGTCTCTGTCTACCACCCCCAGTCCCAAAGACAGTGTCCTATATCTTTTATATCTTTTAAATGCTTCATAAGCCTTTTGCCTTTTGAGTCTAAAATCTAGAACTGATTTTTTGGATATGGTGTGGTGTAGGGTTCAACTGATTTATATTTTATTCTAGGGGCCGTATTTCCAAAACCTACCTTGTTTCTGCATGTGAACTCTGTTATCAGTCAGAACAACTGGAATTGGCTTATGACTAATCGCTGTCTCAAATCCTGTCTCCCATCCCATGCTGAAAGTGACACACTTACCATGTTCATATCTGAGATCTCATGAATGTCGGAGACATAGATAGATACTTTCACGGTCACAGGCGCACCTACAGTACAGAAAGACACTGTTACCTGAACGTTGGAATAAATGTTAGGAGCCAGGATTTGAACATGCTGTGACACTTGCTGGCTGTGTGGCTTTGAGAAAGTCATCTTTCAGCCTTGATTTCTTCATGGCAAAATGAAGATAATGATAGCACTGATGTCATAGTTCATTAAGGTCAAGCACTTAGAGCAGTGGTGGCGAACTTACACCAAAACTTCAGTATTCAGGTTTAATTGCAGTGTTGACACTTTGTGATGAATCAGTGGGTTTTGGCCCTTGTCTCTGGAAGGTTTGCCTTCACTGGCTTAGAGCAAGGTCCAGGGCAAAATAAGGTGAAAACAAAGAACTACTCTTTTTCTAAAGGTTTCCTAATAAAAACTAAAATTCAGGGAGCCCCTACACAGAGCCAAGGCTTGTGCTTGTGTGAGTACGGTGAGTATGTTCATGGGCAGGTAAATGTGTCAGTGTGTGCAAGCATGTATATGAATGCATGTTTGTGTGGGCATGGGATGACGTATATGAATATGTTCAAGTGCAAGCAGTGTGTGAGGGAGGAATGGGTGAATGTGTGACTGCGTGTGAGTGTGTTCATGTGTGGGTGATTGAGCACGTGGCAGTGACTGTCTACATATGAATGAGTGCACATGAGCATGTCTGTGTAGGGAGGCGAAGGTGTGTGTGCTCATGTGTGAGTGAATGCATGACCACGCTTGTGTACTTCAGTATGTTGTGTGGAAATAAATGTGCAACACAATAGCATGTGCACATAATGTGTGGATGTGGACATATGGCCACGAGCATATCTACATGGCTGAATGTGTGACTGTATGCCACCATGCAAGTGAATTGCAAGCATCTGTGTGAGCTCATTTGTGTGACTGAATAAGTTTTTGTGTCTGTGAAGATTTGTTGTGCTTGTGAATATGTGAACATGTTTATGAGTGGGTTCTTCTGTATTCTGAATGTGTCTTTGTATATATGAGCATGTGTGTATATAAGTGCATTAATGTGTGAAGTGTGATGTGTGTTTGTAGGTCAACTGATGCATGAGCATGTTTCCGAGTAAATCAGTGTGTGAACATGTCTCTATACATGTGTTAGTGTGTGCATGTATTTGATTGTAAGTGTGGAACAAATGTGTGACAGTCTATTCATGTTAGGATGTTTTTTGCCTGTCCATGTATGAGTGAATGCATGAGCATGCTCATGGTTGTAAACTAGCTGTGTCGACATGAGTGTATGTTTGTGTATGGTGATGTGTATGTGCATTCATATGTACACGCATGTTCTATGTGTGAATGCTCATGTTGGCGTGAATGCAGAGGACTGTGTATGCTGTGCTTGTCCTTGTCAAATTTGTATGTACACATTTTCATCCTGTTAGTGTATGTGAACGTGTTCATGTATTTTCTTATGTGTGAGCATATTTCTGTGTGTGTGAGCATAAGAAAGGATGTTGAAGGGTGTCTTCATGTTTTTGAGTGAATGAGGGTGCTTGTGTATGTGGGCATGTTTGCATATGTGTGTTTTTATGTAATGGTGAATTTGAGTGTTATCCCAGATGTAGGCATATTTGAGAGTGAATGCATGAGTAAGTCCATGTGTGTGTTAATTTGTGCATGTGAGTGTTAATGCATGAGCAAGTTTGCTAGTGTAACTAGGTATGTGGACGTATTTCTGTGAATGTGTTATTCATGTGTGTGTGTGCATTTGTAGGTGTGTTCTTGTGAGCATATTTGTATATGAGTGAATGTATCTCGTGTATGTGTCATTATGTGTGCTAATGTGTTTTCACAAGCATGACTGAATCTGAGTATGCTCATATATATGAACATGTTTGTGTATAAGTATTAACATGAGCCAATTTGTGACCCTGGTGCATGTTTATCATATATGGCTGTGTGAGCAGGTGTGTGAGTGTTGTTTGTGTCTGTGCACAACTGAATGTGAGCATGTTTTTCGGTGAGTGTGAGCACATTTTTGTGTAGCATGTTTATGTACAAGCGTGTAATTGTGTGTACCCATGTGTGAGTGAATCTGTGTATGTGAACCTGTTTGTGTGTGAATGTATTAACATGTCCATGTGTGTGCTGAGCATGTTTGTGCATATAATAATGTTAATGTTCCATCATTGCATACGAGTGGATGCTGTTCCTGAGTGTATTCCTGTGAGCTACCATATCTGTGAGCGTGTTTGTGCATGAGTAACCGCTATATATGTTCATGTTTGTGTGAGGGGGGTACGTGTCCCTGTGTGCTCTTGCTTGCGTGGGCGTGTCTGTGAATGGGGGTGGATTTGTGAGTGTGACCATGAGAGTGCGCATATCTAGTGTGTGACCAAGTATGTAAGTCTGTGTACCTCCTAGGTTTTCCTTGGCTGGGCCAGCTGTTAGCAGAGTGCACTGGCTAGACTCCAAGGGTTCGGGTGTGGGAATGTGGAATGGACTCTGAAGAACTGTAGACAAACACATTTTTATTGTTCCCTCGCAGCCCTGGGCTCTCTGACTGGCCCGCAGCACAGCTGTTCTTGGTGTGTCACCTCACACTGCTGCTAGGGAAACACATGTGATGTTCGCAGTCCACTGCTGCTTCCATTGTAGGCTGAATACCCAGAAGCTAAGCTGCAAAGAGGGAAATGTGGTATTCCAAGGCCAACGCTTCAAAGAGCACAGTGCTGCTGGGTATAAACATATGAATGGCAGCCTAGAAGTAAATGGGCCTCTGTGCTAGGGCACAGCCAGGACTCTAGCCTTCAGGGCTATTGTGAACAAGCCCCAGGAAAGGGCTGTGTAGTGAGGAGTTTCTAGGAATGCAAATATTGATTACTGCCTCTCAGCCCTCCATGTGCCCTTAGAGGCTCGCAGCTGTGTTACATGGGCAGCAAGCCCCGGAGGGGCTCAGCAGCTAGACCTACCCCCCTGCTGCTCCAGTTAACTTCCCTGGACCTTTCTGCACCACACATGAAGCCCCTTCAGGATGGGGAACACTTTGCTGTGAGCCTACAGAGCGGGCACAAAACGGCCCACAGGTCCCTTTGAGATGCAGCGCCATTCTCCTCATGAAGACATGACCCCTGGTTCCGGATGGGGTCAGGCCTGTAGCTGTGTCACTGTCCTTTGGTAGACCGAGGAAGACAGGAAAGGAAGCTAGGGTACTCACTTTCCTCCTCTTGCCCCATTCATGGTCTGTGTTGGACCAGGTACCAGGCTAGCGGGAGCCCTCAGAGCTGCCTTGGCTGCTTTCCCAGGTGAGTGCCATGGCTGCTGTTTCACCTGGATCACAGTCAGGTCAGGCCCCTGCTTACAGTGTGTGCGTGTGTGCTTAGGGCAGATAAGCCCCAGACTTCTACTCCAAGTCAGGTACAGAGGCTGTGCAAGAACTGCTGGGATTCCACATGCTGAAGGCCTCAGCCTAGCTGTCCTTTTGCTGGACTCCTGCCACATGCCTACCAAACAACAGTCCGGTGTAGAGTCCCATGCTAGCAGATCCTAGGCTGTCCCTGCCCTCCTGGCTTCATCTGCTGTTTGGCCACATGATCTGTCTTCAGGCAACCCGCCCTAAAGCGGTAGGGTGAAAACGCTTGGGACTCAGGTGTTCACTGGGCAGCCTTTGCTGAGAAACAGGAGGAGGCAGGAGAAGATGAAGCAGTGACTGCCTTGAACCCGCACACCCTACCTTCCCACCCATTCCACCCTCCTGTACCCCACCCTCACCCGCCATGTCTTTTTCAGCTTACTCTGATCCCCAGCCATGTACTCCGACTTTGTCACTAGGGCACCTACACAATGGAACTGCTGCCCTTGCAGGGTCAGCTTAGAAAGAGTCTGCCTCTGCCCTCTGGGCCACAGCGTCATGGTGCAGGCACCTGGATCCCTTGGACTGTTCCTTTTGTGCTCATACTTGGGGGGAGCAATGGGACAAAGGGGAAGCATGGGTCTTGAAACTCAGGGCTTCCTTGGTGCCTTTCCAGGACCAAACTAGCACTCTTGGACGCCCATGGGTTCTAGCCCAGCAGCAGATCCTCCAGCTTTGTGCTGGATGGGCAGGGCCACTGTGAGTCCCTAAGACCTCTATTCACATGCAGGAACAGGCACTGTTAGCAGATGTTAACCCTTTTCTGTGAAGATCTTCCTGCGGGAAGCTGGGTAATAGTTTTGTCTTAGTCTCCCTGCTTTTCACATTCTGCTCCTTTTGAGCTAGAAAGTGACATTCATTTTTTTTGTCTTTTTCCTTTTTATCGGTACCAGGGATCGAACCCACAACTGCCTGCTTGCAAGGCAGGGGCTTATGCCTCTGAGTTAAATCCCCAGCCCCGAAGGTGACATTCCTATTCAGCATGCCTTTTCTTTTGTCAGTTCTCAGTCTAGGCTTCTGGGTGTCCCCTGGAGCAGAGAATCCCAACAGGTGTTGTGTGGGGTCAGGCTAAGTGGCCCTCACTTACAGCTGTGTGGTCTGGGCTAAGCAGAAATCTAGGGAGAAACTGAGGAAGAGATTCCCGGAGGTCTCTGAGTCAGTTTCCTTGTCATTTCTTATGACTAAGCTAGGGCTCAGAGTGCTAGGCTGAGGCCTTGGTGAGGGCAGTTAGCAATCCTGGGTTCCTGTGGTGATCAGGTTGGATTTCATAAAGGTTACACTGTGTGCAGTGTTTTGAAGGGACTGAAGTTGGTAGGTGCTGACAGCCTGGGGCAGGGTAGCCAAGACAGAAGTGCCCAGGGTGGGCACTCATATCACTCACAATGCACAGAGAACCTTGTTCAAACTGAAGAATACACGTTCTCCCCCTAGATGGACTAGAGAACTGTAGCCCAAGAAGCTAGGTGCTTTGCTCTGTGCACCCAGTTCTTGCAGGAAGTGGGGGAAAATGCAGTGAAAAGGAGGCCTGCACGGGGGACTGGCTCCTGAGGGCAGGAGCAGTGGGGGCTGGTCAGCTAATGTGGTGGGGCTGGCTGGGTCTCAGCCCTATGCCACGTGCAACAAAAGGCCCTCATGTCTACCATGGCTTACCTCCAAAATTCGGTCTCAGCCGGACGTCATATTTCGACAGCACCCTGTCCAGAATCTTGTGAACCACAGATTGATTTGCACAATTTTTGCTGAAACAGAGAGGTAATGAGTAAATGCTGGTTGAGTGTGGTCAACTGGCCAGTGGCTGCATTGCCAGAGCCCTCCCTGTGCATGGACATGCTCAGACAGGTCCAGTCATACATATGTGTATCTGCTCCCTCCCCTTCCTCCCCTCCCCTCCCAGCGGTGAGTCAGCCAGAAGCACAGCTGTGACGCACTCTTCTTTTCCCTTCCCCTCCTCCCTCCCATCTTTTATCCGGAGGGTGGAGCATGGGGACTGGGTCCCTGTTACCGGGCAGGACTAGAGGGTGGGGGAGGAGAGCAGGAGCCTGGGCAAATGGCGGCCCTAAGAAAACTGCATTGCTTCAGTCCCCCAAGGAGCCACCTTGAGATCAGCCCAGATGCTGTTTTCCACATTGGTGGGCGTCCTCCTTCCAGGAGCACCCATGGCCCCAGGAAAAGTCATCTCCCACTCTCCAGTACCCTCCTGAGCTAAGCTGATATCCTGCAGCTCAGAGCCACATGTGCCCCTACTTGGGACAGGCTGGGCATTTTTGTCACGTTTACGTCAACCTTGTTTTTGTATACGTCTGCTTTTCAGATCTGGCATATGGCTTATGATGCAGAGAGAGCCTTGTTCATGAGGCAGAGATTTATGACCCCAGTGAACCAAACCATTTCAGGTTCTTGGGCTCAAGGCTGTACTCTAAAATATCCATTCTGGCCCAGAACAGGTGCTTCCCCCTGGAGGGGCCTTGGCTAAGCAAGTGGAAGTGGACCCAGGGCAGCTCTGCAGGGAGCTGGCCTTTCCAGAGATCTCTTGTGCTCACACAATTCATCTAGGGCTCTTTTTTCCAAAAGACTGACGAAGAGAACAGGTCTTGGGCATCACTGTGACTCTGTGACGCACTTCTGCAAATGTGTGCTTGTGAGTGCATGTGCGCGTGAGCGTGTGTGCATGAGTGCGTGCGTGCATGTGTGCGCGTGCATGTTCAGTGGCGCAGTCTGATATGTTGGGTTGAGGGCACTGCAGGGTTGTCTGCTAGAACCTTGCCTCCCTTACACCTCCCTCTTTTTTATCTAAATACACATTCCATTCGGCTTGCCATTTAAAATTATTCTTGATCTTCCTCAATCATAAAATTTCATTTCCTAACACTCTAAAGTGTGCACATGAATTATTCCTGAATTAAAGCAACGCATTCCCGCCTGTTTCCAACGACACAGTTTCCATGTGCCAGTGCTCAGGATCTGTTGCCACCACAAATACACACTGTGTGTGATCCATACGTGAAGGGCGAGTGTTTAACATGTCTGCAGCTGTTCACGGACCCACACAAACTTCAATCAGACAGCAAAAAACCTCACTCCTCACCTGTTTTCACAGGCCATGGGGTTACAGGGTTATAGATCGTGGATCACAGTCTGGACTTCCCCAGCCCGAGTTAATAATTTCTTCCTGTTGCACTGGAAAGAGCCCCTCGCCCCACAACGCGCACTCCCGCACACACGCACACGCACTCACACCCGTGCACCAGTCTCGGACTCAAACAGGTGTCTCTTCTGTTTGTTTAAAAATTACCCATCCTTGGCCTGTCCCACAGGTACCAAAAACGCAACCCAGGAAAGCTGTCCCAGGGAACCTTAGTTCCCGGTGATGGCAGGGCAGGCTGTAGGGTGAGGACACCCCCGCCCGCCTGTGGCGTGGGCACACGCGGGGTGCAGTGGGGTGCCGCAGTAACAGGTGGGCTCAGGGCTCCATCTCGCGCGCGGGGCCCTCATTCCCACCCCATTCCCCGCAGGAGTCACCCGCTAGAACTTAGGGAGCCTGGATCGGGCTCCCCCTGTGTTCCACCCAAGCCCACCCGTCCCGGGGGGCCGTGGCCATCTGTGCCCGCCGCGTCCGAGCTGGCGGCGCCCACTTACCAGTTAAAGATGTCCAGGAAGTCTTGGGGCACTCTGGAGAACTTGAAGTTCGGGGTGGGACTGGGCTTGTCGCTGTCCGCGAGCCAGGTCCTGATGAGCAGCATGAGCACGCCGACCCGCAGCACGGCTCGGAAGCCCATTGCTGCGGCTCTCTCTCCCCGGGAAGCAGAGCAGAGAGCGAGGGACGGGGCCGCCCGGGTGGGACCGTTAGCCCTCCCGCAGAGTCGCCCTTGCGGAGGAGCTACGGGGGCGCGGGAGTCGGGCAGGAGCCCGGCTCTCAGGGAGAGCCGGGAGGAGCGGGCCCGGAGCAGCGCGAGGTGCGCTCCGTCTGCGGCCGCTCCGGGCTGCGACTGGGGATGGGGCGGGGCGCGCGGCCAGCTCCGCCCACTCCGACGGCAGCACCGGCCCAACCAATCCGGCAGGTGCCAGGCGCCGCACAAAAAGGCGCGCGCTCCTGCCTCCTCCTGCGGCCCTCGCGCGCTGGCCCCCCGCCTCTCCGGCAGCCGCAGTGCTCCCGGCCCGCTCCCGACACAAGCAGGGCGGGGCCGTCGGGGGTAAGTAGGGCGGCGGGCTGTGCTGCGGTGGCCGTGCGCTGTGTGCTTCCTGGGCGATCTTGTCCGGGGGTGTGGGCATTTCACTGGCGTGACCGAATCTGCATTCTGAAAGACCTGGCACCCTTCGGGACCAGGAAGTATGCCACTGCTGATCACTCCCAGACAGTCGCCCGAACCCGCCTCTGGGCCCGTGGAAGGGGGCAAGCGGTGTTTCTTGTGACTCCTGTCCTCCACAGCGATGGAAATTAGGCCCCAAGGGCCCAGGGTTCCTTGAAGACTTACATTTTCCAGAGTGCTCTTTGCCCCAAGTTTGGGTTCTTGGGGGGGGGGGGTTCCCAGGAAACAGAAAGGATCCACCAATCGAGGCCTCCCTGAGATGAGATTGTCAGTGGGGGAGACAGTGTTTTCCCCAAGAAGGGAAAAAGGCAAAGGTCAGTGCTTAGTATGGGGACCAGACCACGTCGGCGCCCCTGCATCAGCCGAAAAGCCCAAGCCTGGTTATTTTTACTAGATGATTCTTTCCACTCTTCAGGATCTATCCTCAAAGGATGCGGAATGCCTTCACCCAGCTCCTTATCTCTGACAAAGGCACCTCAGTCACGGTCTACATCCCTGACCCTCTCAAATGAAACCATTGAAAGGGGTTCGGTTCACACTTGATTAACTAGGAACACTCGCACTTGGACACAACCTCCATTCGCCTTCCCCCAGTTCTTGGGGACCTGAGCTGAGATTATTTTGACCCCCAGAGCCTCCAGTGCTTGGTTGCCCCAATGTTTTGTATAACTGAGGGTTTAAGTCTTTACTTTCCCCTTATAAGAAACACTTTAGGCACATGTCATACTTTCCCGCCTTCTCTGCCCACCTCCCTGCTTCCTCTGCCAGCCCATCTTTCACCACCCCTCTTCCGCCAGGCGTCCTGGACAGATGAGGGTCACTTCACGTCATTTTGTTCAGCAACTTGGATTGTAATGTGGGGACACCAAGATCCAGAGAGTGAAAACGGATGGGCCCAAGGGCCAAACTACACACCGTATTTCCCGGTTCTCCTACTTGGAGAACCGCGCGTTTTCAGGGTAAACTAGCTTCAAATGGAAGTTCAGACAACCACCACCAGGTGGGAGTAGATTTGTTTGGATGCAGGTCTCTGGCAGCAAGGAATCAAGTTCCACAGGGGACGGTGGGTTCCTCCTTTGTCAGGGAAAGGGAGCTTGAAGCTTGAAGAAGTTTTGCTCCTGGGTGCCATTGTGATTATGCAGAGTGCCAAAACCATGGTGAAGATGGATTCACTCCCAGGACTGAAATCCCAGGGGGGCCCTCCCCCACTTCTGCTCTCCCTGGAGGTTAAAGCTTCGTAGAATTGTCTGTCTCACAAGATGAAAAAATAGCCCCAAATGCAACAAGAGACAGAACAATGCACTCTAATTTGTACTTGTTGAGCTTTTGTCTAGTCAGTTTATGGCAATATCCATAAATACCCGGATTGAATATGGGATCGTGGTGGAGGGAGAGAGCAGTGGCCAGGGAGTTAGCCTATCTGTGTGTTTTGACACTGGAGGTTTGGGGTGGGGGTGGGGACGTCCTTTGGCAGGTGGACAAGAAGTGAGGCAAGTAAGAGAGGGGTGATTCGGTGGTCAGTCTGTCACCCAATCAGTATACAATAAATCCTTGTTAAATGAAGCAAGAAAGAGAGCGTGGGACCTAATTATCCAAATGAAGTCACTTGGCTTTCATTGTGGAGAGATAGCTTTGGGAAGACGTGTCCAAGGGAAGAACACAGTCACAGTGGTACTTTGGAAGAATCCTTCTGACACTCTGGGAAGCTGGAAGCAAGGGCGGCTGAGGGGAAGGAGAGCAATTGGAAAGGTGCTGTGTACCCCTGCGCCTGGCAGTGGCAGCTGGGCAGGGGGGACCAAGTGTCCCAATGAGGGCAGCTGAATAAATGGAATGAAAGAGAGAAACAAATCGTCTTCAGACAGAATGAAGGGATAATGAGGCTGACAGCCGGAAGGCAAGAATCCAGAAGGAACAGCACCGAAAGCCACTTCTGCTCTGGGGGCTTTTAATGAGTTGTGGTTTTGGTGGCATCATGGAGAATGGGCACAAAATTCAAAGTTCAAGGCTTAACCAAACAGTACATTTGGTAAGCTTTCTCACCACTGGCAGCCGAAACCTTGGGCAGTACCCCCTTTTCAGCATGTCAGTGGTCCAGGAGTAATGCGTCCTTGTGGACTTTCCTGTGGAGATCCGCATGGCCTGAAGAACCCAAGGAATTGGAAGTTCTGCTCTTAAAGTGGCCTTAGACAAAGAATGTTCCTGTACATTTGAAAATATCACAGTCAATGAAAATACTTTCTAGAGCCTGGGATATAGCTCAGCATCAAAGCGCCTGCCTGGCATGCACAAGGTCATGAGTTCGATCCCCGGTACCAAAACCAAACAAACAAATCAAACCAAAAACCCAGAAAATACTTTCTGTAGGAAGGTGTTACCATCCTGAACCTAGAGTCATTTATACAATATTATTTATTCAATAATATAACGGTGCACAGTCAAAGATATGCTCACATAAAATTGGAAGTACATTGGAAATCCAGTAAAAAACAATAGAAAACAAAAATAAACCTACAAAGGCTTCAGATATCAGACTTATGTGACATATGCCACAATAACTCTGCTTTATTGTATTCCATAAAATAATAAACAAGCCTGGAAATATCTTCAGGGAGCAGGCAATCATAAAAAGTGATATAGCAAGTTTTCAAAAGAATTGAGTAATATGTCTATAACTAAAAAACCCTACTAACAAAACTTGAGAATTTAGTGGTTGGGTTGAACAGAGGGCTAAACTCGACCAAAAGGGAATTATCGACTTGGAATATACGGTACAAGGAATTGTTCAGTGTTCTGGCAGGAGAAACAAGTTACACTGGAGAAAATAAAGAGGGAGGATAAGATATGCAATGACTAGAGTACGAGGCTGCCATACATTTGACTGTAGCTGCAGAAGGGTGGAAAGAAAAGCGGAGGAGGAGATGATTGCTGGGAATTCAAATGTACCCACTGCAAGCAACCTAATGAACTGTGGGAAGGAGAGACTCAGACTGCGAGTTGGGAATTCGACCCCAGACTTTAAAGTGCTTTTAATCAACTTTTCTATGAAAGCTTATTTTCTAATGATGTTATCAATTTCATTACCAGTTGACAAAATGCATTCGTTAAAAAATTGTACTTGCTAGAACAACCTGACACGTAGGAGCCCTTCCGAGTGGTCATAGTGGGAAAGCTATTGTCCTATAATTATATGTCCTGTCCCTCGTGGGCCACAGAAGAGATACATATTCTTCATGGATGTGCAGTGCAAGTGGCAGCTGAATTTGAAGGCTGGAGAAATGTGTTTATGTGTGATTTTTGTAAGAAAGCAGAATAAAGCCAATCTTTGGAGAAAACTTTCTTTCTCCTCACCACCCCCTCAACTGTTGCTCAGTTTCTAAGGCCAAATCTAGAAAATGAACAGTTCTGTGGGCCTTCGAGTGTCTTGCTACACCTTCAGGATAAACCGTGTTCTTATTCACTCTCGCTCAGCTATGTAACGCTGGACTGAAATAAAATTCCTGCGGAGCTTTGCGTTTGTAATAAACAAAGCTAAAATGCAGTGGGCTGTTGGGAGAGTGCGTACTCTTTCTTTGTTACTAGGATTATTTTTAAGTATACATCTTGTTGGGGATGTGGTAGAGGAAAGTCTGCTCATGTGGGAAGTTGCATTAGAGTGTCTGTGTTTGTTTCAATATCCTTGCTGCATTTATTTGCCTTCAGAAGTCTTCTTACGTGCTCCTAAGAGTGAAGGCACAAACCTCCCTTCCCTTCAGCAGTTGGCATGTGGCCAGTGAGTTTGCGCTGGCTCACGAAGAGACACGGTGCTGGACCTTTGGTTCTACGTGCCCACGGTTCCTCCTCACTTTATTCTGCCACCCAAGCCCGTGTAAACCTCCCCTTTAGTTGTTTTAGGGTCTTCCCTCCCTTCTAGTGGAAGGACAGGAGCAGGAGCAGGAACAGGGAGAACGCTCTGCTAACTCTCAGGTTTTCCCTCCTGCTCCAGGGACAGGCTCTAACATACACCATGAAAAGAAAAGAGCATTTGGCTACAAAACCCCAAGATCCAGATTGGAGCTCTAGCACCAAATACCCAAACACCTGTCAGCCTCTGAACCTCAGCTCGCCCACCCGAAGAAGGGTGGTGGCGGTGGCGGAACAATCTGGACAGAAGGGATCTTATCCTTCCCAATTTCCTAGCCCTGCGGCCTCACCTGTCGCACCCCTCTGGCCTTGGGGGCACTGGAGTTTCTAGTTGCGTCCACGAAATGGCTGTTGGTTACTACCACATTTATCCACCAGGGGGCCTCAGCTCTCCTGGTCTAACTGTGGAAGGGACCTTGCTGTTTTATCTAGTTTCCCTAAATCCAAGGGAGCCAGGCTGATGTTTATGAAGAGAACCTTCTCGAAAGCTCAGCGAAACGGTGGTGGTGGTGATGCTGATGGAGATAACCGCAAGGAGAACAGACTTCTAAGGGAGTGAGTTTTAGTGTATGGATAGATGGGTTTCTATTTCTTTTTTGTACTGTTAGGGTTGGGTCCATTTTATTTTAATTGACACAGTAATTCTGTGTGTAAATGGGATTTCATTTGCAGGATGTAATGTAAGTGAAATAAGCCACTCGTGAAAGTTAAACACCTTCGGGTTCATTCATGTGTTCCCTATACAGTTCTTGCT